ACCTGTGTTTACCCCTCCCTTTTCTCTCACCCTGTCCATCACCCTCATAAATGAATAAGTATGCTTCTCCAATTTTAAACTCCTTCTCTCCACCCTTTGAGCTTGCCTGAGGAATTTAGTTGAAGTTTAATCTCTTCTTCCCCTTCACAACTAAGATGATTTAAAAACCATTTTACAATTGTCATGTTCATGTTCCTGCATCCCATTTATGTGTTATTGTTACCTGGTCTCTTCCTTTCATTCTTTCTCTTTCTCTTTCTTTTTTTTTTTTCTTTTCTATTCAGGCTTTCTATGTCTTTTTTTGTTTGTTTGTTTTTTAGGTTTTTGTATGTTGGTTTGTTATTTGTTATTTTTGTTGCCATAGGGCACATGCACTTGCCAGAGAAAGAGCGAAGGAACGTGAGAAATTGCCCCCAGGGGATGGCTATGCCATGATCACCTCTCCTCCTTTCTCCTCCTGAGATTTTGGGCATTCAAACGTACGACATGATTTTCAAATCACCAAGTCCAGTACTGAACTGCAGCTGGTCATGTGGAAATCCAGCACTTGGCTATCCTGCCACCTGCTGCTCCCCCCTTATCTCGTTTCTGACACTTTCACAATGCCCAGCTGTTCTGACAAAAGTTACCAAGGTGCTCCAGGTTCCAAAAATGGACTCTTTGTGTTCTATTATGCTGGCTGCTTTGTAGTGTGGGCTCCTTAATTGTTTGTTGAACTGAAAGGTAGAAGCTTTGTGTTTTTGATTCTGTTCATCACTGACTGCTTAAAGTTCTCCAATGCTTTATCTTATGTTTTGCTACCATTTATCTTTTTCTAAAAACTAATTAATTTATCTTTTGTATTTATTTTTATTTTATTTTGCATTTTTGCTTATATTTGTGCTGGCTCTTCTACTCTACTTAACTTTTAGACCATGCCTACTTCTCAGTTCCTGTCCAGTACCCCTTTTGGTGAGTGAAGATTACAGCTGAGATCAGCTCTTTGGCTCTGGGTACCATCCTTCCATGACAAAGCCTGAGAGACTTAGGACACTTTTTTTCAGCACCAGGATCACTGTTGATTCAAATGAAGTTTGTTAATGAAAATCTCCATTTCCTTCCACTTAATTGTATTTTCAATTGAGGGATTCCTCAACTGGTGTTAATATAGTTTACTGTTTAATGCTAAATTCTAGACTTCTGGAGGAGCAATTAAATTGTTGAAAATCGTGTCATACTGGGAATGGGGAGCTAGAATAGTCCTAGCTCTGCTCTAGATATGTAGTTTGACCATGGACTAACATTTTTTGTTTCAGATTTTTTTCCCATAGAGTGTGTGCACTCACCAGAGAGAGACAGAGAGAATGTGAGAAATCACCCCCAAGGGGGGATAGAAATGCCACAACCCCTTCTCCCCATTCTCCTCTCAGGATTTTGGGCATGCATACACAACCTATCCAGTGTAATTTTTAAACTACCAGATCCAGGACTTGAACCACTATCAGCCATGTGGGAGTCTAGTGCCTTAACCACCGTGCCATCTACTGGGCTGGGGCCAACTATTTAATAAGCTATTGAATCTATGTATATCTATTTTTCAAGTGAGAGGATCATATAAATTGATCTTCAAATGGATCTTGCACATATATAATTCTATGGCATTAGTCTTTATAACAGTTGATTACTATAAAAATTAATACCCTATGAGAAAAAATTGATTGCTCAAAAGAAATATATTCACTAAAATGGCTGATAAAATTTATAATAAAATTAACAAAATAAATAGGAGATTACCTTCACAGAAAGGACTTGGACTCCATCCAGATGCTGTGCAGATGGCATCTCCTCTTTCACGGTAAACAAAGCCCAAATGACATTTATATTGCAATCGTTCATTCTCCCTAAAAGTCTTCTTCTGGGATAGAGAAAATCCATTTCTAATTTCTGGTGATTCACAGGAAATTTCTAAATAAAAACATTAAATTCCAAGTTTACTACAAATTGAAGGATTGTGAAACCTTGTCATCATTAGGGTTAGGTAAATCATCCAGTCAAATCAAAGTTCAGTTTCAACTTGAATGCTTGTTGAATGATGTATCTGCTGTTCTTTAAATTTATTTTTTAAAGCAAGTTGCAATTGTGATTAAAATTATCTTTCTAATTTTATTTAGTTTGAGGATAAATTAGTAGTCTTGAAATAAATGGTAGCCAGTAACATTCATGACATGCATATATAAAATTGAAGGCTTATTATAAGTATTTTCACTGAGTAACCTGCAAAAATAACACCTTTTCTATCATTCATAATAATTATTGGCATAAGACTTTGTCAGAGAAATTCATTTAACTCATTGTCATTTCTTCTCTGAAAAGTAATTGGCCTACATTTAGGTCTTCCTCATCCATTCAGATTTTCTGTCAAAAAATAACAAAAAAACTTGGACATCATCTTCCAAACTATTTCTCTCAAATATCTTCTCCTGAGATTGCAGTAATGAAAACTAGTTTCTCAAATCCTCTCTAAGTTTCTCCCACCTTTTAAGCCATTTACCTGACACATAATTTAATGGCCTTTCACATGGCCATTTCGTTGCTCCACTTGAAATCTTCCATTGATGCCCAAATCACAGTGAATCAAAGCTCCAGCACTGTGTATGAAACAGCTCAACCCCGCTTACAGCCCCACTTCAATCTGCCCCTGACCTACCGCCCAGACCCATCCTTCCCTAGAGCCTCTGTGAACAGTGGAGAAGGACCACTGACACGCCATACTCTTTGGGAGCTCACTCACAACCTTGCCATATTCTGTTCCATGAACTTCCTCTGACTGATGTGTTTCTGCCTTGCTTATTTTTATCTAAAATAATCCCTCATTCATTCACATCAGCCATTCCAGAAAGTGCACTCGTTGTAAGCATATAAACCCCATCTGTGAGCCTCGAAAATACACATTATTGTTACACTGAATATAAATATTTAGAGCTTATGTATTTGTATCATTAAATAATTTATCAAACTAAAGATTATTTACTATTTAAATGTTATATTATTGACACAAAAACTAGCTGTGTTAGAGCTCTTAAGAAAAGGAAATTTTTTTCTGTCTTTCAAGTAAATTAGGCTAGATTGTTTTCTTTGTCTTTCAAGTAAAGTAGGTTAGACTGAAAAAGTATAAATAATTTAGAGATTTAAGGTAAAGTTAGAAACTAAAACTGGCAAGAATTTTGGCCAGAAAAGAATTAGTAAAATGAAATATAGTTCCATTAAACAAACTGACCATAATGGTCATTGTAGTAGTTTGGTGCAAAAGAAATTTTGGTTTTGCATGTTGAAATTTGCCATTTGATGTTGGATACATTCTTAAATAAGCATGACTATTTTATACATCATTTTAATGCACACTTATTGCTTTATTTTTTTGCTAATGAGTTATTACTTGCCATTTTTTTAAAGTTAAACATACTTTTTTATTTTTTTAACTTTTAATTTATTTTTATTTTTATATGGCCAGAGAGGAACAGAGTGAGAGAGAGAGGGGCAGAGTGAGAGAAACAAAGAGAGATAAGTGAGAAAGCAAGCCGCCAGGTCCAGGACTTGAACCACGGTCAGCCATGTGGGAGTCCACCGTCCTTAACCACCATGCCACCTGCTGGCCTCACTTGCTATTTTTTATATGTATTTTAGACTATGGAAATGATGTTAAACAAAAAGTAAATTTGAGTGATTTTCTTATTAGAGTTAAAAACAGGTTGCAAAGCAGCAAAGACAACTTGCAATATCAACAACGCATTGGCTCAGGAACCACTCATGAACATGCAGTATAGCGGTGGTTCAAGAAGGTTTGCAAGGAGACAAGAGCCTTGAAGTTGAGAGATGCAGTGGCAGCCATTAGAAGTTGATAATAACCAATGGAGAGCAATCATCAAAGCTGATCCTCTTCCAACTACACCAGAAGTCGCTTAGGAACTCAACCTCGACCATTCTAGAGTCGTTCAGCACTTGAAACAAACTGGAAAGGTGAAAAAGCTTGATAAAGGATGCCTCATGAACTGATAAAAAATGAACAAAAGAAAGTGTCATTTCGAAGGGCCATCTTCCCTTATTCTGTGCAGCAATGAACCATTTCCTGTTTGGATTTTACATGATAATCATGATGACCAACTCAGTGCTTAGACTGAAAAGCGGCTCCAAAGCATTTTCTAAAGCAAAACTTGCAACTAAAAATGCGAGGGCCACTGTTTAGCGGGGTCTGATCCCCTACAACTTTCTGAATCCCAGTGAAGCCGTTTCATCTGAGAAGTGCGCTCAGCAAACCAGTGAGATGCACCGAAAACTGCAGTGCGTGCAGCTGGCATTGGAAAGGCCCCAATTCTTCTCCACGACAGTACTGACCCCCTCTCACATGACCAACACTTCAAAGCTGAATGAGTTGGACTACAAAGTTTGCTTCATCAGTCCTGTTCACCTGACCTCTCAACAATTGCCTACTGCTTCCTCAAGTATTTCGACAACGTTTTGCAGGGAAAACTCTTCCACAACAAGCAGGAGGCAGAAGATGCTTTCCAAGAGTTGGTCCAATCCCGAAGCATGGACCCTTACATTACAGGAGTAAACAAACTTACTTCTTGTTGGCCGAAATGTGTTGATCGCAATGATTTCTATCTTGGTTAATAAAGATGTTTGAGCCTAGTTATAATTATTTAAAATACACTATCCGAAACCATAAAAGCTTTTGCAACAACCCAAGAAAAGCCCAAATCATTACGTGGTTATGACGCACAGATCATCAGCATTATGACTCAAGAAATCTTGGCTTAGGGTTCACTGTGCAACTTTCTTTTAAAAAAAAAATGAGACAATGCATGCAAAAAAAACCTGAGACGTATTACAGGGCACTAAAAGATGCTTAATGGCTATTAGGTATTATTAGTATTGTTCACATTGTTTAGAATGGACACTGTTTTAGAATGCGTATTTTCATTTGGAAAACTAAAGCATTCAATCAAACAATAAGCACATCTTACCCACACATTTTGGTGGATCTTCACTCCAAGCGCCATTATCGGAACAATGTATTTCTTTGCGTCCCGAAAGTTTGAATCCCGAGTTACACTCAAACTGTACCACTTGTCCAAAAGAGTATTCCTGATCTGGTTCCATTAAATCATTGATGATTCTCCCATTTTCTGGTGCTGTCACTGGTAAACACTTAATAACTAAAAAAAAAAGATAACTTATTCTAATAGAATTGGAAATTTTCATCGTGAAAATATGTGTATATATGTTTAAAGTTATCAGCAAAATAAGATTGGAGGAAATTATGTAGATTTTCTTCAGAAGCATTTGATACACTTTTTTGTAAGAGATAAATACTGTTAAGTGAAAAAAATTAAAACAAACAAACAAAAACCCCAGAAAAATAATATGTTCCTCTCTCATTCTTTTCTTTGGTAATGGGCCAAGAAATTGCTACTTTGGATGTTAGTTTGTAATTTTGTAGTAACAAATGATTGTCCATTAAATAATTTTTAAAATAAAGCTTTAGAATAATTAAATATAAAATGTCCATTTATGTCTCAGAATGATGTTACACTGCATTCTTAAAAGCTGTAAAGGCAAACTTTATGATAATATTTGCTATAATATAGGAAACATCCTTAATTTTCCTTTCTTTTCCACATCAATTGTCAAGATAATTTGGGTACTGCTTTTGATTCTACTTAATTGTTCTAGTTTATGTATGATTCTGCTATTCAAACTTTATTATAAAATAATTCTGGGGGATAGCAGTTGGTGTAATGACTATGTCACTGGACACCCAGGTAGTCGGCCACAGCTCGAGTCCTGGACCCAGTGGCTTAAACTCACATTGGGTGCAGGTGTATGCATGCCCAAGATCTCAAGAGGAGAATGGAGGAGAAGGGATTGTGGCATTGCCATCCCCCCTGGGGGATCATTTCTCACTTTCTGTTTCTCTGTCTCTGTCTTTCTGGAGAGCACATGCACCCTATGAAAAAACTCTTCAAAAAAAAAAAAAAAAAAGAAGAAGAAGAAGAAGAATTCTGGATACTTGTTAAATTGGGAAGTCTAGGGCCTTCTTCCTGCCCTACCACCCCAAGGATACCGATTCAGTAGTTTTGGTAGTAATCAAAATGTGTTTTTAAAGTGCATTTCCGGTGCCTTTGATTTAGGTGTTTTATAAAACATTTATTTCCTTCCTTCCTTTCTCTCTTTTTTACAGATGAAAAATTTTCCATTTTTTGCTTTA